TATCAATGCTTTTATCATGTCTTGTAACTTGGTGCTTAGCCACTAGGTCATCCGGTGAGGGTAATGCATATCTCAACATATCCACAGTCATGTATAACATGTGGGCTATAACCATGGGTACATCTGTCACAGGGATGCCCCATACTTTCAAACTGAGGGCTGTAATTGTTGCATGGGTTTGTTACTGTTTTGCTGTCAGCACCATATTCCTCACTTTCTTCACAAGTTTCCTTATTGATCCTGGTTTAGATAAACAGATCACTAATATACAAGAACTTCTAGATTCAAAGATAGAATATGGATTTGGAGAAAGCATAGACTTCTATTTTGAAAATTCAGAGGTTGACATTCATAAAGAACTTCTGAAATACAGGAAGGCATGTAATCAAACTGAACTCTGCATAAAACGAATATTCAAAACAGGAAAATTTGCTACTTTTGCAGAACCAAATGGTGTAAAAAATGTTCTTAAATCTCATCACAAGGGTAATAAGTTTTGTCGTATGAACAACTTCGATACATACAACGTCTTGGTTGTTGTCTATTTCTCGAAAGGCAGTTACCTTGTTGAAACTTTTGACAAATACATGTCCTCAATTTTTGAATCGGGCCTTGTTAACAGAGAAGATACCACGACTGGTGCTCTCTCCACTGAAGACACTGCAGATTGGGAAGCTAATCCCATCGCATACTTCCCATTCTCAATCAATCACCTCCTTATAGCATTCTATGGCCTTCCACTGGGGTACTGTCTGAGTTTCATTGTGCTTATTGGTGAAATACTGAATGATAAAACTGATTGGATTGGCAGAGCAGTAGCGATATTGGCCCGTATTCGGGTAGTTCTCAGTTTGAATGTAACCCAGACAACAGGTTATCCTCAGTAAGGATTTTCAAGGTTTTCCTCACTCCCTTATTCTCATAGGAAAACTAGACACATATAAATTAGGAAAACTGTACATACCACTGGGACTGCAATGAAGATGCTGATCCCGATGTGTATGGACTGCTGCAATCTTAACCTTCCTCCTTGATGCAATATTCCTATGTTGCTTACAGCACACACAGGCTCAAGAGAATAGCCACTTACTCTTTTTATTCTCTTCTTCTTGTGTTACTGCACTGCCATGTATCTATAATCAAAATACGTAAGTATGTAATCAGTTCCCCACTTTGAGGGAGGAACACAGACTGGGGGTGTTTGAGAACAGCTTGCTGGGTAAAATATTGGGACCTACTATAATCCCTGACAAAGATTGTTAGACTGATCAAATGATGGGAAATGCTGAGGGCATGTAGCATGGATGGGGGAGAAGTGCAGGGAAATTTTTTGACAGAAAAACATGACGGAGACCAGGATGACCTCAGCGTACATACAGGGGGATTACAGTAAAATTGATCTTAGATGGGAGGATGTGGACTGGATTCATCTGGCTCATGATAGAGACCAGAATCATCAGGATCCATAAAATTCTTGGAACTTTTAAAATAGCTGGACAACTGCTGGCTTCTCAAGAAGGACTGAGCTCCAAGGAGTTGGCTAGTTATGAAATTGGCTTTTCATATCAAGGTGCAAAATTATATTTCTACCCATACCTACAGACTCCTTTAGTTCAAGGTCTTCTGGGATACATACATAGGTACTACTGTTCTGGAGGAACTTGCTCCAAGATGGATGCAGCAGGTTCCTCCAACATGTTGATGCCTACACACCAAACAGGGGTGCAGCCCTAAAAGTAGAAGTGCCAGAGCCCCTTGGAACAGTTCCAGTATACATCAATCTTTGTACACGTAAAGTTAATATGGCACAATGTCTGAGATTAAGTAATGACTAAACTGCACAAGAACAGAAAAATGTTCCTGTACATGAGGTATGCATTACAAACAAAACAAACTCCTAGGCCTGTAGTCCACAAGCAAACTATACTGACCTAGTGACTGCCACTTGTCGGCAAAGTTAGCGCCAACTTTTGTGGATAGAGGGTGTCGCGTGGTGAGCACAATGGATCCCCATGGTCGTTAATCTCAGTTTTCTAGACAGGAGCTGCTATTTCCTTGAAATAGCTCCTCAGTTATCCTAACAAGGCTTAGTGGAGCCCGGAGGTATGCATTTGTAGTGAAATATCTAATCTTCATACACCAAACATTGGCACTGCCATGATCTTTGCCAAGGATGTGGGGGACAGCCAAAAAAAACTGCTTATAAACTTACATTTCGTGTTTAAGACATTCAACGCTATTTTTAACCAATTAATTATTAATTACTAATATTTGGTTCATTCCTGGGGGGGGGGGAGGGAAGAGTGCAGATGCCAGAAGGACTGAGATTAAGCATCATCTTTTTAATATTACATGGTCATATAACTATGGAATCAGAGCATTCATTACAATCCTAATTCAGTATCTTATACTGTATACCTGAAAATTCACTGCCCATATGTATCCCTATATATTCATTTCTATCGTATTAAATGCTTTCAATATATTTACTAAATGTTTATAAATACCCTTTTCTTTATAGTTTTCATTATTGCAACATAAGCTTTCACATTATAAAGATCTGTAAATTATTGTCCTTTTTTCTTTACTACCTGTCTATATTTGATACATACATATTGTAACCTGCCTGGGCATGGAATTTTGTTTGTACTTATGGAAAGACTTCAAATATAGTGACTGTACTCATAATTCTAAGTTCTGGTACCTGTGAAGATCATAACCTAATTTCAACTCATCACATGAAACTGATTTCTCTCTCAAAATGGAAGAAATACAAAAAAAAACGGCATTTATACAATTTACTTGGCACTCCTTAAGGATATACAGATCCAATAATTCTGCTATGTTCCATGAATAAAGGTCCTGGAAACAGTTAATATTGTGTTTCTTCCATACTTTCAAGACAGTAAATCCACTGCCCTCTAGGTTCAGATTTAAACAAATTTCAGATATTTTAAGTACTTTCAGCTTTGAATTTACCTAAATACGAGGCGTGACCAAAAAAAAAACACGCTGAATACACGCGCGGAAAAAATTTATTACATTAATTTTGAACTTCAGTTGTCTTCAAAACAGCTTGTTCCGACGGTCCTGCCAACTTCTGAAGAAACTCCAACCATCCTTCGCTGACGTCTTCAAACGCTCTTTCATTGCAGTTTCGATCTCTGGCATCGTAGTAAAACGGTTTCCTTTCATCGTGAATTAATTTTGGGGAATATAGAGAAACTACATTATACCGAGTCTGGTGAGTACTGTCGATGATGACACACATTTTTTTTATCAGCCAAAAGTGACTGGTGACAAGAGCCGTGTGACTCAGAGCCTTGTTGTGATACAGCACGAATTTGTTCTTCCACTTTTCAGACCGTTTTCGTCGCACGTCTTTTCCCAGGCGTTCCAATAGGCCATTGTAATTCCGTGTTCACAGTGTTCACAGTTGTGCCTACGCTTCAATATCGATGAACACGACCAATACGACTTAACAGTTGATTTCCATTGACGCGCTTTCTTTGCTTTGTTCGGTGTTTTCCGGTGAGAACTCTGCATTTTCGTTTCAAGATCGTAACTGTATACCCAAGATTCGTCTCCAGTGATCGAACTTCGTAAAAAGAAACAGTCTGAATTCGCACGACCATGCAAATTCAATATCGACAGGCGGCGTTCTTCTTTTCTTGTGTGACAAAAACATGGTACAAATTTCGCACTCACTTGTCTCATGTTCAATTATTCGTCAATACGAGTTGCACTGATTGCACTGAGCCAAAAGAAATGTCCAAAGGATTAGATATTTATCGAATCGTCAATCTTCTGCCTGCTCGAACCATTTCGCTGATTTTTTAAGTTTTCCTCTGTTGTCGAAGTCGACGTTATGTCCTGAGCGTTGTTCGTTTTCAGTCGATTCTGCGCCTCCGTAACTTTCAAACCACTTATATACCGTCTTTCGACTCACAGCATCTCTATAAACCCTGAGAAGCATTTCATGGATTTCTCCAGCTGTCTTGCCTAGTTTAAAACAAAATTTCATTTTTTTCCTCATTTGATTTCAGTTCTTTCCATATATTACAACAAAGACCGCGCCATAGCTCAAGCTATTAGTTGCTGCTTCCCCATCGCGGCGGCCAGGGTTCGAGGCCGGGTATGGTCATGTTGGATTTGTGGTGGACAAAGTTACACTGGGGAAGGTTTTCTCTGAGTACTTCAATTTCCCCTGCCACTCTTCATTCCACCAGATGCTCCACAATCACCATCACCTATCATCCAGGGCTGGTGCAACAGGCCAGTATTTGCCGCAGTACTAAGTGGACTCTTTCCCCCACAAAGAATAATAAAATAAAAATCTTAGAACAAAGATGTGAAACATATATTCACTACACTCCTAGTCATCAATCACGCACTACTTACAATCAGGCACGCTCATTCTCAGTACTGTCTGATCACACCTCATAACAGATCAATATTCCCCTGTACATACTGCCCTATAAATTATGTTTTGTTCATTTGAATCAGATTGCAAATAACATACGATACAAATCAAACCACGAAACATATTTTGTGCATGGATGATGGAGAGATCAACATATTCACATTGTTCAGTTTGATGCCTCTAAATATATTTCTCTACCCTTCCTTAGTAGTTTATGGTGAACTAATCTAATCCTTAGTGTTTTAAGAATCATGATGCAACAAAGAGACTGAGCAGTCATACTCCTATCACTGGGAAATGCTGTTCAAATCTCGGCCACGACTACCCTGACAAGAACTTGTCATAGTTTCCTCAGTCCTTCCAGGCAAATGCTGGGATAGCAAATTCTCTCCAATATGATCACACAATCAACATTATTATATAGTCTCGCATTACTGAGAGCATCATTACACACAACATAAATAAATATGGCATTTAATAAGGGCATCTAAGAGGGACCACAATTTTGTTTTCATCAAGGTTAAGCGAGAACAATACTGGATACAAAGAACACCAAGGTTAAAAGATTCAAAAGCAATTGATTTTTAATAAAAATTTAATTAAGTTTTTCATTGTTAATTATAAGAATGTACAAATCACTTATTGCAACACAATTATCAACTGTGAATGAACATACATAGTATTAAATACACAAAGGAACACAACACACAGTTCAACTTTAGCCTGCCTACAGCATGTACAATGGATATCTATCCCAGCAGCATGAAATCTTTAGCTTCCACACAGCATTGGCACATAGAACGTTAAAAATGTCTTACATGATAAATAAGTTGCCAGGAAAAAGTCTTGACATTTAAGGTACACAATATCAAGTTTTCCAATAGCCATTTGCGTAAAACTGGTTACAAAATTTTTAAACATCACACACTGTATGTGATTAAAAAATATGTTTATTTGAAATTGCATTTTGAAAATAGCTGGACAAATATAAGTACAGCATGCCTCAGCATTAGGGGCAGGATGTGTTCTGAAACTCCGTAACACAAACCTAATTTTTCAATTCATTCCTGTTACAAGTGTTGCGTGTTCTAACAGAAAATTTTCAGTCTACAAGCATAATAAAAACAGAGTTTCATTACCTATCAGAAATAACACCATGTACCAAAAATTATATTGAAAACTTAAAAAATTTACTCTCCACAATGAAATAAGAGTGAAGCACTGCACAATTAAAAATAAAACAGGAATAGCGAAACATGCTAGCAGCCTTCCCCATGACACTAACATGTGTGAGTACATGATGTGAATTTCATCACAAACAGAGTTTCTTTAAAAAAAATACTTCACACTGAATTTAATGTCATCATGCATTATGTTTTTTAAATAAATCTTAACATTTATTACAAATTTTTGAACGAATAAATTCATGGCCTGCGTCATGAATTGTATGGGCTATTCTACAACTTCAACAAACGGAAAATTCTGTAACACATACATCCATAATGCAAGGACACACTGTACATAAATATGAAGTTTCCAAGTCACTGTTTGTATATTATTTGATACAAATTTTTAAACATCACACATTATTCTCATTATAAAATATACTGTATGAAATTCCATTTCAAAATAGCTGGACAAATATAAAATATTCAAAAAATTTTGGACTCAATATTTATAACATTATGAATTTTAAAGCACCATTACATGATGAGCAAGTTAATTAAATTATTGCACGTAGGAACTCGAATCATGCAATCTCGATGTACTATAAATGCAGCTACATATTACTATATACACACATAGTATACGATGTAAATAACTTTTGCAATAAGTAAGTCTTTCTTAATAAGAGCACTGGGATAATATATTTTAAATATTGGTCCATTCTGGAATACAAATACAAAATATTTCAATATGACTAGCATTTACAGCATGGAATATACAGGACACATCAGTTATCATCTCTCTGATCAATGGGCAAATTATTTCAGCCATTACATACAAATTTAATCCTTTTGTATCCCATAATGTTCTTGATGCAAAGATCCAAATTATATCATAGGGTCAGTTTCAATTACTGCAACACGCTGAAATCCTGGAGTTATGAGCAAATACGCATATACAAAAGAACAAAAGGATTGTATGATGATAATATCATTGGAACTGATCAGGCTTCAGTTAAATAACACAGATATTTCATTTCTATCTGCAAACTAATTTGTTCTATGTACATGTATGCCTCAGGATGTTAAAATTATTAAATATGATAAAGTTTTCTAAAAATTCAAACTGTTTTTGTACAAAAGAAATTCTAATAAGATATAAAAAAGTTGTACTTATAAATATGAAGCCTTATCATAAGTGTAAAACAGAATTTCATAAATATGTTTGCCTGTTTACGTGATGACATTTCAATACAATTCCTCTGCAAAGAGATTGCCCCTAATACAATACTTAAAACATTATTACTGCATCATATGCCAATTATGGTTTTGCTCCTTGGACTTGGAGTTTCCTGATTCGTGACTGCACGGACTCGCATTTAACTTCACTGACTCTGTTATATTTCCCTGCTTTCACTTCCCTGATGACCACAATGTTCCCGTTATGCTCTCGCAAGAAATCAACCTTCCGAACTGCTGAAGTGTTGTCATTGCTTATGGATGATACAAGAACCTTATTCAAAACAGATGTGTGCGCAGCTTTGGCGTATTGTTTACGTGGTGCACGTGCAAATATGCTTCTCTCTTCAGTTTTATTCATTGCTGTTTCTTGTGTGTCACCAGAAACCGAATTGAAGCGGGCAAATGCCTTGGAAAACGTTTCACTACATGAATACCTTGCTGCTCTTTCATTCCTAGGGGCATTCAGCGTTCCTGCTGAGTACCAGACATTGTTGTTTGCTGATGAATATGAAACATAATTTCCTGCAGGATAAGGACGTCCATTTATTTTGGAATAATTATATTCTAGAAGGGAATCATCCAGTGAGATTATACTAGATCGATCACTTGATGAATCTATGGACATCTCACTAACGGTGTCACTTCCTGAATCACTGCTCGAGTGGTCAGAGTATGAATGCGTATTATCTGATGTCGGTACCGATCCATGGATCAATATAGGAGCTGTGCTGTTACCAACTGCTGTTTCATCTTCTGAATCATCAATAATGAAACATCTTCTAAATGTGTATACACAGTCTTTGTTGTCCATAATCCTTCTTGGGACTTCATCTTCTGTCTTAGGGGGGATGTTCTGATTCTGCTGTCTTTGTTTTGCAACTGTTTCTGTGTCAGTTAACGGATGGCTCAATCTGTATCTACTGATGCCACTTACTGGCATTGTCTGCATGGCAGTCGCTTTATTCACTGATCGTACATTTATGTACGTACTGGTATTATTCTCAACCTTACAGGCAATATTTGCAGATTCATTTACAGTCGAACCCTTACCTTGGCCACTGGTGGAATATAACGCACTGTCCATCTTCTCTAATGTGCATTTACTATCGATTATGTTGTGGTTTTCAGTGCTGGTCAGGTCACTGTAACTTTGTGCCAAATTTTCCATGTTCTTAATGAAACGGCTTCTTCTTGAGAAGCTCATACCTGCTTTCTCTGGTGTCTTCCCTCCTTGAGATGTGACAGAACAGATGTCTGAGCTCTTTGTGATTGGCACACTACTCTCCCTAGGCCTATGAACACTAGTGACATTTGTTGGTGATGTTTTACAAGTGACTGTCATTCCATGGCTAGACAGAATTTGGCTTGTGATGTCGTCTTGTTTTCTGGAAGTGGTAGGAGATGACAACTTGACAATTCGAACCTCTTCCATCTTGGCAGTTATGATTTCAGAACACCTGACAGGCGTTTGCACGGGTTGCACAGTCATCTTCTCAGTGTCTGTGAACCAGTGATGTTGGAGGCATTCTATGGCACTCAGTCGCTCCCTGCAAACAAATGAAAACATGTCAGATATGAGGCCCTAACAGTGTTGGTTATGAGGAATTCTATCTTCTGGGATATAAAACCATGTGGTCTGTTGACAGTTAGCTGACGTTTAGGAGAAACACATCATTTCCAGGACTGCTGCCTGCTTCACTCGGTCTTCCACCATGGAGGCCACATGTCCCTCCAAAATATTAGCTGACTTTAAACAGACTACACAGCATCATATCGCAGATTACAGAACTCTTCAAATGAAAACATATTCTATTTTAGGTCCTCACGGAGACGATGATGCAGAGTACAGAATTGTGGGCTGCAATGCTCTGTATTTGGGAGAATGCCCCATCTTTCAAAGAATTACATAGCCTCCACCTCACAGTTTCTGGTTTGGTTTATGCTTTGATCCTGAAGATGAAGGTAATAGGTTTCTCTAAAATATCCAGCCCTCTCCAAACTACACACCATCAGAACAAACAAAACCACACTTTTCAAATAAAAACGTCTTCTCAGTAACAGAACAGCTCACAGACTGCATATGTACAGTTACTGTCCTCATACTTGTATATTCAATGTCCAATGCCATATCAGCAATGAGAAAGTGTGTGCTAGAAGATGTGGACCTAACAGGGCTGAAGTAATAGGACGACGTTGAAAACTGCATGAGGAACTTCACAATTTGTTCCATTCACCAAACAGAACTAGTGTTAAAAAAAAAAAGAGGAGTTTGATGAGTGGGGCATGAATGTAGACAGACTTTTAATCATAAACCTTGAAGAGAACAGGCTACTTGGAAGCCCTGGACTTAGTATATGAGGATAATATTAATATGAGCATGACATACTATTTATTCTAACTGGAAAACTGGCTTAGAATAGGATTCCATCTGGCAGTTTTATGAACAACGGAGTGCTCTTAATCTTAAATGCAGGTACTGCACGTATACATATAGTTACAATTGTGCTGTGAAGGGTTAACCTTTTCACAGCTATGAATATGATATATCGAGTACACAACTCTAAGGTAATAACTGCCAGGCTTTAATGATTTAACACTTTCAATACTGTAAATTATTCTAGAATCTCATTAATCTTGTTGTGATTAAGATATGGTTTTCTTAATATCATGGAAAGAAAACAAAATCAGACCCCAATTTTTCTACATCATTTAAATTGACAAGGACTGGGAAGAACTAATAATAGCCCTTCAACTAGCAGAATAAATTCCTACACATAAAGCATTCTAACATACTGTAACGTGTTTGGAGTAGATACTTCCATGGCAATGCAATAACAGTGGGCCCCTGCATAGACAAAGCCAAAACAACGAACGCGTTTCCCCGGAGATGAACAACAGAAGGCCGTTGAGTACCAACGGATGAGACGAAACATGTTACCGCCGTAATCTACAGAGATCGTTCCCGAAGCAACCGATTGCTGAACCAGTGAGATCGAACCTTGGTGAACGGTGTCTCATATCCGGTACGCAGAACACCTACATAAGTTGAGAGCGACAGAGCTACAGGACTACAGTTGAGATCTAGGCTTCATAGAGCACAGTTCGAACCTAGCCGCCCTACAAGACAGTTGGAAGACAGCTGCCGCAGAATACAATTAAGGTGATAACAATTGTACGGTGTGTAAGAATGAATGTCCAATAAAGATTCGCTGAATCCAAGACCCACGTGAATTTATCTGTCGCGTGACAATATTTTAATTGTTATATATTACAGTTAAATTCCTGATATACCCTTTCCAACAAAACGAACTAGCACCATCAGCTACATGGTCTTCTGTGAAGTAACACCATATAGAAAGGATCTGAGATAGTACAATGTAACGTGGTAAATATGTACCAATGTTTTAGAGGAACCTGAAGTCACCATCATCTTGTATTCTGAGGGTGGAGACAGCATGTTCCTCTACAACACTGGTATATATCTACCAAACTACATGGCATCACATCACAGAAGACTATAAATCTGAACACTCATCATCACCAGACCCTCACAAATGTTACAAGCGCTGTTAATCTCACCTTGGCTCCTTGACCATTAATTTCCGCATGAGGTCCTTGGCATCCTCAGAAACATCCTCGAATAAGTCCTCAGGGAAGTCGAGTTTGCACTGTGAGATGTTACAAAATGTCTCTTGCTTAGTATCGCCACCAAAAGGGGAACAACCAGTCAGAAGCACATACAGCAAGACTCCAACAGACCTATAAACATAACACCAAATCGTCACCTTTAGGAACTTCATTTTTATGTCATATTACAACATTTTTGCAGGAGTAATGCATTTGGCTTGAAATTCAAGATATTCAGTATTCAGTTCAGAAGTAGTCACACCCTCCATTTCCTAAACAGTAGCAGCACATACAAGAAATCTATCACTAAAGATAAATGTCTTCTGGTATGTGACACCATGCAGACTGGTAGAAGTTTAGTGGTATTTTGGAGGAGCATATGACCCCTATCTTCTGTGCCAAAGAATTGAGCATGCAACCAGCAATAAATAATATCCCAGAATTACATTACTCTTTGTAATCACTGCCGTAAGATCCGCAAATCCAACACAGCATGTTATGTTCGCTGTAAAGACTGGTAGCAGTTTAATGACATTTTGGTGAATGTACCACAAAAAACAAGCATCAAGCCTGCTTCTTGCTGGTTGCTTGGCTTACTTTTCAAGCCTGATGGCAGAGACGGGGCATACCCTCCAAAATGCTGGTAAACTTCTATCAGACTACATGGCACTACATCCCAGAGGATAGCAGTCTTCACAGTCACTGGTGCAAGCACCTCAAATCCAACAGTTACGCCAATCACAGTGGCCGTGCGGTCGAAGGCATGAACTGTTTTCGCCCGCTTGAATGCTGGGATCATGCGTTCAAATCCCACTCAAGGCATGGATGTTTGTAAGCATATATTCTGTGTTTGTGTTGTCCTGTGTAGGTAGCAGCCTTGCGTTGGTCTGATCTCCTGCCCAAGGAGTCCTACCGAGTGTCTAAGATTAAGAACCTGAAGTGAAACGAAGCGTTTCATGGATGCTCCAGAGAGAGCAACAGGAAATAGAGAGATGTTACAGTTACAACTCTTTCAATAGATCACTGTAGGTCATGGTGCAAGGGCCGAGAAGGCCCACCCCTTATTTATACATACATACTCGTACATACACACACACACATACATTCATACAGCTGTTTATCAGAAATTAATTTATATATAAACAACACTGGAACCATTACACAAGTTCTGTGAAAATATTAATGTGTATAGCTTCCTTTAATGTAACAATATGCTTCTACATCTGTGGAACAAATACCCCTGGCTGCAGATACTGAAACAATAGTTTTGAATGGCTTGAGAGCAACACAACTATCAAGCGTGACAAACTTTTACTAGAACACTGAGTGAATAAAATTGCCTTACATGTTTTGGTCATACAGGACCATCTTCTGGGGCACAAGCAGTAAAAGCAGGTTGCTTACATTTATATTTCAAATTGTACCCAGAGTCTTAAAATTCTACTACACACCTTTAATCTAAGTACAGGGGGAAGCTGAGGTGTTTGATATAGTCACTTTGTCTTCTCAAATGTGTTACTAAGTTGTTTTTTCATGTGTTTCAAATTAAGTGCTGAAGAGTGATTTGCTGGTTGAGATGCCTCATTATAGGATAACAGTTTTGGATTTTAAACTCAAAAGAAAATATCTGCTTCATTCATTCATCAGTAATCTGCCAGACGAGAAGTCCACAATCTCTTCCAAAACAGTTCGTCCACTTAATGCGATCTTCTGTTTTTGGAAAGAGACTATCCAGGAAAAGTGATAATGTGGTAGTTTTTTCCATTTGCTTTCCACATCACAGTACAACAGCCATTCAAACCACTCTGGTCATGCCTGTTGCTGTAGAATATGCTTATGCAGAATAAATACGGTGCCAAATCCCAGAAGACTTCTTTCTTCATAGTCACCGCCGTGAAAACCTCAAATCTTAAATACTTCATGTCTAGCACATACTTAAACAAACATACAGAAGGAACTTGAATAAAAGGTTTTCATAAATGTTGTATACATCAACAGCTATTAATTTATTTACAAATTATATTTCAACAATTTTTATTTTTGTGGGTTATTTTACAATGCTATCAGTATCCAGACTATTGCAATTTATAAGATGATAAATCAACAGTTTACTGAAAATTATCCAGAAAGGAGCAGTCAAGGCTTAATTTAAGGTATATGATGCCATTTTCATGTAAAGACAGGGAAAACACACACAAAAAAATCTGCCAAAATGTATGATAGTAGTATTACTTTGAATTCAAGGGAGAAACAGGGGAAAAAGGTGGAAAGAATACTTCACAAACCTGGACCTAGCAACAAACCAATATGAGATTAGCAGAGAAACAAAATAACCTTGTATTTACTTATTTCCTGTTTTGGTCCCCATTCTCACACGTTCGCGTCTGTCCACACACCTCATTATGCTTCCCATCACCTTTCGCCAACCCTACAACTTGGGCTGGGTCTTCGGCCTCCTCTAAAAACACTTTCCAGAACTCCCTCTCTGACACATTCTACCATCAGATACTGACTTTCAGCACTTCTCGATTATATTTTACACTTACCAAATCATCTCAGTTTTGGCCTACCTACAACTCTTCTTTATTTTCCTAATGAAGGATTAGTATTTCATAAGTTCATCATCATCCATTCTGGCTAGGTGTCCAGCCCACCTCAATGCAACCAACTTAATACTTCTTGTGTCAACCTTTATTTAATTTATGCTTTACACAATCTGAATACAAACTGTGTTGAGTAACACTGTGTTGCCAGAATCTCTAGACATGCCATACACCATCTTCTGAGATATTTGAGGTTCTCACAATTACAAAAATAAAAAATTAAATTTTCTGGGGAATGACACTGTGTAGTTTCATAAGGTTACCAATGTATCAGAGAAACCTTGTACCTACACCTTCAGGAGAGCTATCTATCAAACTACAAGACAGAGTAACAGTCATAGCTTTCTCTCTATGTACAACACGCAAGAGCTTGAAATTCGGTAACACAGTCTGTTTCACCATCCTGTGTAAAACTGGAAATATGTTGTGAAAGTGTTGTACTTACCACATATCTGTGGCCAGGCTAATGGATTCATAGTTCAGCACTTCTGGAGCTGGAACAGAAGTAGAACAGGAGTGAAATGTGCTGTAACCCTAACCTACTTAGTTGCAACAATTCTGGGACCCTGAACACTGAAGCACTAGGGTTATGAAAACATACAACTAAGCACTTTACCATTACCAATAACTTTCTCAGAGCAGAGTTGTTCTCAAAAAGCTAATAGCTGCTCAGCAAACCATGAAATTCCCAGCATTTTACTAACTCAATCACTTGAATACTGTGTTCACAAAGAACCACTACTTGTCCTTATTCTGAGCCAGACAAATACAGTCTACTATTTCCATCCTATATCTTCACAATTCATGTTAGCACTTTAAGGCTTCCAAATTCTATATTTCCAGCAAGTTTTCCTACCAAAATCTTTCACAGATTTCCCCTCGCATTTCATGCATCATGCATGTGATGCCCACTTCATCTTCAGTTATTTTATTACTCTGATAATATTTGGGAAAATTAGTATAAATTATGAACTCCTCTTTATGCAGCTGAAGCCTTCTCTTTCCTCCCCCCCCCCCCCCCCCCCACNAGCCCATTATTGTCCTTATCACCATGTTTGCAAACACCTTCAGTCTGCGTTCATCTCTTAATGTGAGCAAAGGAATCCATCCAAGTTTAAGCTTATGTGAACAAGATGATAATTCTTTTATGATGAAGAGTTCTTTGCCTCCAATGAACCCCCAACTTGTACAAACACCAACTGCTGGCCATCCAGTTACTTCTTATTCAGCATATTTGCAGAGAGACAACAAATCTGCAGTGAAGTCTCCTCAGGTGATAAGCCATGTCAAGTGTGGTGTCAGCAAGCAATGTCTCACATACTGTCTCCATTTCCACCATCAGGGATTCACTCAATGAGTGCAGTGTTCTATAAATACAATGAGCGGATGCAAACTCATCACATCAACTCCTCATAATGAAGATAACAACGGCCTCCGAAAGGCTGCACGTTAAATCCTCAATGACATCGCTTCTCACCCAAGAAGTCCACACTGCAAATTCTGGGCTTGTTTTGCATAACTGCTCTACTCCCAGTGATACAGTTCTTCTGCCTTCAAAATCATAAGACAGGCAACCAACCTCAGTGGTTTCCCTGTACTTCACTAGCAATAAGTTTCTGAGGGAAAAATAACAACAGTGTGGACACAAATTCATTTTAAAAATATTTGTACCCAAATAAAGTTCCAAAACTTGCAAACAACAAACGATAAGTACTGTACTTCTTTTGGCTTGTTTTGGACTTCATCCATCTTCTGGTATGTAAAAAGACATCCATCTTCTGGTATGTAAAAAGACAAAAGACCATGATGTTTCAGTCCAGTGATTGAGACTGGCTCTTTCTAATGGGCCCAAATGAGTAGGTTTATCCTTTCCCTACCCACCTGAAGACAGAGACATGTCCAGTCTCCGAAACGTCATGGTCTTTTGTCTTTTACATACCAGATGATGGATGAAGTCCAAAACAAGCCAAAAGAAGTACAGTATACACCATTGTCAGAATCCTTTCAAGTCGATAAGTACAGTCTCATTCACTAGGGTGTAGCATTACTATTTTTTTTGTGTCCCAGAACACGAGTTTCTGAACCACCTTAAAGAAATCAGACTTCAAAATTATGAAACTTCCATTGCACAAAGTCACTCAAAAGTGAAGAATGTACAGGAATATGCAAGTCATACACAGGTCAGTAAGCTGCAATGTTCCAGTACAACTTGCCATGTGTTGGCCATATTTGCTTGCATAACTTTGTGCATTCCACAATTCCCTTCACATAACTTGCAGTTCTGGACTAATTTGTCCATGATTCCATACTGCACGGTTACAAAAATTCTGTACATATTTTGGAATATTGGTCTTACTGAACATAATACAAAAATCTTGAATTATCGTACTTTCCCAAACATAAGCCACCCCCCAAATAGAGTTTTCCCTGAAAAGTGTATGGTCTTCAAATTAAAAAGAATATTTCATGAACCTACATCATTATGTACATATGAACAGCTCAGAGTAGGCAAGTTTCATGTAGCTCTATATTGTTAAAAATGTTATTTAGAACATATTAGTTACAACACTTACACAAACATACAGTTCCATCTCAAATTTAACTTTATGAGAAATAAAGTTGCATTTGACACGGAACCGTGTGTGTATACAAGTGATAAGTTACTGTAACAGGGTGTGTAAGTACAATATTACATTAGTTTAATTTTGGGGGCTGACAAAAGTTCTAATAATATAAATAAATGGGTACAATGCCCTTCCATTACGACTCCACAAGTTGATAATATTGATTCAAATCAAATTCACACGTCATGCTTATATTTCGGGAAATGCAGTATTCCAGCCACTAAGAATTTACTTTCAAAATTGTTCTGTGATAGCAAAATCAACAACTTACCAACATAATCAGGTGTGCCCAGTATGTCCCTGATGTCCGCACCCTCACTGATGTAGCGCGAGATTCCAAGATCACACAGCTTCACTTCGCCGTGTGGGAACTCGCTCATCAGTACTAGATTCTGGGGCTGAAACGAGACAAACACTGGTAACACACGTGACGCTACTCATCACTATTACAGATTCAAGTGAACAGCTGTTTCACCTATGAGCGGTCACATGAGTCTGACCTGTGTGTATTAAACAATGTAATGCTCTTGAAGGGCTGCACACAGCTAGATGTGAGGCATATACTGAGGGAGGACACGACTGCTTCGATCTACCCCCTTTCCTATCATTCTACCCTTTCTCAATCAAAAGTGCATAACCTCTACAGCAAACAAAACGAAGAAACAAACAGGCTGCCAACATAGACAATGGCATAGGGCAAAACTCGCAGCCTGCCTTCCTCCCTTGCAGTTTGAGGTAAAATCAAAATTGAAAATACAAAGAAAGAAATCAACAAAACCAAATACCACAAATTATTATTATTTTAAAAGATGTATTCTTCTATCCTGAATACCCTAGGGCAATCAGTAAAATTAGTCTTGAATAGAATAAATCTAAGCCTGTAGGTAAATTTTCTAACAATAACTAGCTGTATTTCCCGAAGCAGAAAAGAACTGTCCTTTCTAAAGTAGATACAGTGTGTGTCTTGTGAGGAACGAACTGAATTTTGAAATATTATTTAGACGAAACTCGTGCTAAAAATAAAAACGCAATAAATGAAACTACAAGTGATACTTGTGTTTCAACTATGTAGTCTACCTTGTGAGCTGGTCAAATTAGAACAACAGTCATTTAAAAGAGAGTATATACGTTTCTTCTAAATTAGAGATACCTGTTACTGAATAACTGGCACTAATTAATCTGGATGGCAGAATAACAGGTTCTCTTTTTGCAAGAGTGTAAGGGAACTATTTGGTCTAAGGCAGAACACCTGGATCTGAAGAGGTTAACAAGTTTCAAGCTGTACTTTAACTGGTCCCTCTAGATACAGGTTTGGCCATAAGTAACAATATGAATACCTTTGTGCACATTGCATTACCAGTCAACAAGAGGTATTCAATTCACTTGCATAACTTTATTCTTTGGATTTACAATCAGTTCATAACAGTACCTCCATAATCATCTTCAATATGTTAATGGTTAATTCAAACACAGATCTTAATCCCTGCTGCTTCTGGGTTCTTGTAAATCTCTTCTGTTTAGTTTCCTTATTCAGAAACTCACAACTCTTACAATAAATTTAATGATATATTTTTTGTAATTTAACCTATTCATTCTTTTGGTTGTTATAGCAAGCATACTTATTCACTTAAGTATGCTTTATTTACTGTTATGTTTTCAAATACAATTCACTTTTCTTAAACTTGGTTAGGAAAACCACAGTTTTATCTCCTATTCATAAAATTTCTCCAAATTTTTTTCAATGAATGTCAGTGATGTTTACAAAGGGTGGAATTGCTTCAGGGTCAACATCACTCTCCCCACAAAATTTGGGGTCATCATAAAAAGATGATGTTTTCTTTAGAAAAATGATAAAACTGGGCAGTGAGGGAACAAATATTTATGGTAACAACACAGTTTCCAAGGTCTCTTTATCTGACAATCAGTCATGGATATGTGGATGTGCTGAATGACCTGACAGCAGTAATACTCCAGAACTGAATTTCTGAGGTGTTCATTTTTGGTGGGACACTGGATGGACATACTGAGGTTAGGTGTTATTACCCCTGGTACCTCCAGATAAATACCAATCTTTTCCAATGTATAATTCATCAAAAGTCATATTCTTCAATGCTAAGCAATCTGAGATATTGAAAATAAGATAAAAGAAACCACAAATACATATGGGTGTACTGAGGCAGCTGACTTTCTAGGAAGACCTCATCACATTTGAATGTTATGAAAACTTCAAATTTTAAACCTACTTTACTTATGAATGTATACAATGAAATATCATGTCTGGTAACAAACATGTTTAAAACAAAATTAGATCACATACAGCACTGGCAAGTCTGCTTCATTTCTCAGTTTGATAATGGAACTAAATAAAATCTACAAAATGAGATATGAGGATTAATATTAGTCTTGAAGGCTGCTGACACTATGTAGTTTGGGAGTACTAATATTTCACAGGGACCTACTGTCTCCATAATCAAGCAACCAAGGTTTCCTTCAACATGTTGTCTCCTACCTCAGTAAATTACATCCCATCAATACTGACTTCCATAAGAATCTCAAATCTCATATGGGAAATGAGGACTGTTTTCAATCCTCACAGTATTTAACTAAAATTGGAAGCAAAGAGACTGTGTGGAAGCCTTAGGCAGATATGGAAATACAACATTAAATGCAACTAAAAATAATAGGACAGTGCTCTGGGTTCATCTGGCTCAGGATAAGGTTAGTCATGGGCCCCTGTAAAATGGTAATGAACCTCTGGATCCAATAAAGTGCTGGCAATATGTCCACTAAATGAGCGAATGTCACCTTCTTACATAGAACTGTTCTATGCAATTAATGAATTCATTCATTCACGGTATTTTTTATTGCTAGTGGGGCAGGACTAAGTCCCTTGTACTGCGGACATTTGTGGCCTACTGTACCAGCCACAGATGATAGGTGAGGGTGATTGTGGAGCAATTGCTGGAATGAAGATTGCCAGGGTAAACCGAAGTACTCAGAAAAAACCTGCCCCAGCACCAATTTGTCCACCACAAATCCCACTTGACCAGACCCCGGGAACGATCCCGGGCCGCCGCGGTGAAAAGCCAGGGACTAACCACTTGAGCTATGGCACGGCTCTTCATTCATGGGTTAGTTAACGTTTCTTTCTTTGTTCGTTTGTTTGTCAGGTCATCGCCGCCAACAACTGTGCAGAGTGAAATCACCAATATACATACCACTTCTCATACTAACCCATTTTTCAGGTCTTGGCCAACTTATCAACAACAGATGTTCCAACTTATAAATCCGATGTAACAATCTAAAGAACTAATGGGTTAGCAACTTCATGCCTGGGCCTGTACTGAAGGCACTCTTGTAACATTCAATTCAGACTGGGGTTGCGTGCATAAGCGGATTAAGTGTAAGTCTCCTCTGAATGTTACAAGAAAATAGCCTTTTAATTACAAAATGGTAAAGGTCCGATAATACAGAAACTCTTTTACTTCCATTTTTGCCTCATGAAGCATGGAATTCAACTAAATAACATTTAGAATTCGAAATTTGTAAGTTCTGTCTCACAGAAGACACTGCAGTTCTGTTACAAAGGCAAATTGGTCAATGCTACTTATGGAAGCAGCTGTTAATACAATGTTCTTGGGCAATCAGCCATGGCAGATGGTAAAAAGGTAAGGTTTAACTTTTATTACTTTCAGCTGCCATGAAAGCTTAGGATCAAAACAATAGCTTTTTATCATGGGAATGGCACAAAACAACGAAATATGTTTTATAGTCTACTGTTGAAGCAGAAGGTAAAAAAGCATCCCCATGCTTAACCGTTCAAGCACTATGCCTGCAAGACATATGGGGAGTGGAGGTATAGCTCCATCTTTCTTGACCTTGGCACTACACAGGAGTGAGTGGTCAACTTTCACGCACCACTGCCACCTTACCCACGAGGCCAGTATCGCTTTACCCCCGGTACCCATTGGACACGAGGCTGGGTGGACCCCACAGTTGATCTTGCACTGCAGGGAATCGAACCCGGGCCGTCCAGCCCGTAGCCTGTCGTTATACCGACTGACTCCTGTGAATGCATAAGGTGCATACACTTAAAACTGTTACAAATTCTCAGAATCGAACCCGGGCCGTCCAGCCCGTAGCCTGTCGTTATACCGACTGACTCCTGTGAATGCATAACGTGCATACACTTAAAACTGTTACAAATTCTCAGGTTTTCACGGCATTGGCTGTTAAGATTACGGGTTCTGACACCATGTAGTCTTCTACAAAGTTATCTATCTCTTGGAGGAACGTGCTGCCTTTATCTTCAGGGTCCAAACTACGATACAAAACAGAGTCACGACCCTGATGAACGCGAACTTCATGACCACTGTACTGTAAATGGGTAGAACTTGGTTTTCAACGGTTTTCTAGTGGTCTGTGACAATCGTCGGCCAAAAGGTAAGGTAAAGCTATCCATGTAACGGGCCGTGAAGGCTCATAGGCTTGTCAAACGTCGAGGTTCCCACATTCTCTATAAAATCGGCTCACAGATGAAGGTGAGGCTGCCAGCCTAATGCACCGGCCACCCTTTACCCCCAGGAACATTCCTAGTACTCATTTCTGTTACAGAGAAATATTATGCTAAAAATTGTCAGTCCACAGCATTACCTCTAGACCAACCTGCTTGTCTGTACTTTTCTTGTAACCTCAGTACAGAATATACAAATCCCACTGCCCTTGCCTTAACAAGCAAGTAAGACTTGAGCCATTGCTGCACGCATCCCAAACTATTACTGAAGCTCTAATTGTTGCCCAACATGGGCTTGGCTTGTACCGATAGGGAATGTTATGTTTGTTATTTGGACTCAGGGCATGGGGACGAGGAAGGTTATTATGCAGCATTTAAATTCTCACGCCTCTTGTGGTTGGGGTCAACTACCCCACACACATCACTTATTATTATAATCATCATCATCCTCTTCTGTCCTTCAGTGTGACCATAGACGTGCATACAGATAGTGGTCGGTCGGTCACTTCACTGCACTGCACTTGCACTGGTATTCTACGTAATGAATATTTGTACAAAGTGAGTGAGTCAATGGCTTTATGGCGTTATGCCCCACAACACAGTGCCCTTCCAGAAACGTTCAAGTTACTCTGGTTAGATATACTTGACAAGGTGTGTATCCAACTAGATAGCTCAGTCAGTATAGTGACAGGATATGGGCTGGATGGCCTGGGTTTGATTCCCGGCAAAGACAAGACATTTTTCTCTGCTCCACAGCGTCCAGACAAAGTCTGGGGAGTAAACCAGCCTCCTATCAAGTGGGTACCACGGGCTCCTACCCTGGGTTCAAAGCATCTGGAGGCATGAAGCTGACAACTCAACTACATTTAGTGCAAAAAGTCAAGAACAATGGGGCTATACCTCCACTCCCCCACACGTCTTCATGGTGTAGTGCTGAATTCATTACGCACAGGCACAACTGTTACCAGTAACTTTCTGTTCAAATTTCAAACAGCTTTATGCCAGTAAACAAACACTCAAGATTTTGCGCACACATTTCGTGGAACGGCCCTAATTATGCCCCTCCAAATCCTGCAAGCGACCTTCGTGCATATAAGACTAATGACATCATACCTCCTTCCGAATGTCTCTCTTTAAAAAATCGGCTCCTTATAAGCATTGCTTCACTCTCTGCACGCTGCAAAGAGTAGTTTCAAAACTTACTGTCCATGTTTTTGTACACTTATTCCACTTATCAGAATGTCAATTACTGTCATTATATTTCAGGGCCGATGATAGTGCTGCGCAGTCCAGCAATGATTACTGCAAATAGGCCCTCCAGGATTTTCCAACTTCTTTGTCCATCTAAAGCACTGTGGTAACAGTACATGCCCCCAACTTCAGCGTTTAAACTGCAGTTTGTACCTTCAATGTATTCGTGTGTTTTTTGACGATTCTCAGAGCAAGCAACGAGTATTTCCTTAAATAGAAATAGCTGGCTTGCGTCTTTTAAAAACCAAAAGAAGGTCATGTCACTTCTAACCCACTATCAGCCAAGCCCCATCACACAACCACATGCTAGAAATACCATGACTACTTGAGCAAAAAGTAGGGTTGTCACAATGCTTAATAAATAACACACCACACAATGAAGACGTATGGGGGAGTGCAAGTATAGCTCCACCATTCTTGACCTCGGCACTAGATGAGAGTGAGTGGCCAGCTAAAAGCCCCTGCCGCTTTACCACCGGGGAAAGAGCCCCCGGTACTGATTGGAGGGGAGGTCCGGTCGGGTCCCCAGCCGGTGTGGACGCTGTGGTGAAAAGAAGAAACTTACCCCTGTCGGAAATCGAACCTTGGGCGACCGGCCCATAGCTATACCGACTTAGCTATAGGGTAAATTACATTACATTAAAACCCCGCAATACTCTCTCAGATTTTTCCAGATTATTTTCCAGAGACCAGAGGTATACAAACGTTGAAAGCTTGTTCCTTCCCTTAAAAGACTGATTCACCACACTGGATACCATCTACCGACAGGAATGCTGTACGAAGTCACTAGGCCGTGGCCGCGCCATAGCTCAAGCGGTTAGTCGCTGGCTTCCCACAGCGGCGGCCTGGGTTCGATCCCGGGTCTGGTTAAGTGGGATTTGTGGAGGACAAAGTGACGCTGGGGTCGGTTTTCTCCGAGTACTTCGGTTTCCCTACCAATCTTCATTCCAGAAAAGTCTCCATCAACATCATCACCTGAGGCAGGCTACAATAGGCCAATCAGTGGCCGCCGTGCCGAGTGGACCCAGTTGGACTCCACCCCCCACTAAGCGAAAAAGTGACTGGGACAGCTAACCTCTCTGTCTACGGCAGTTTCAATGCCAGTACACAGGAACCAATCCAATTGGTCCACGGCGCCAAAAGGTTGAGGAAGTGTCTTACCTTAATGTCCAGGTGTGCCACGTTGATTGAGTGGAGGTATACGAGACCATCCAGGATTTGATGCATCAGCCTCTTCACTTGTCTCTCCTCAGGCACTTCATCTTTATCCAGTAGCATCTGCAGCTCGCCTCCAGAGGCGCTGTAAACGAGGAGAAACAAACAGTCGGTTTTGTTGCTTCTTTTTTTTTTGCCGAAGTGTAGGCTGATAAATGAATAATTGGAAAGAACATATAGAAGGAATAAAACATGACTTGAATGAACGTAAAAGAACTGAAATTAACGACTTTCAGTGATTTAGCGGCCCGAAATAGGGTACAAAACCCCCAGATAATTCCATGCCGATTTTACCGCGAATATTAACACTTGCTGGAGCAGCGCAAAGTCCCATGCGCACACTCGATCACAAACTGGAAACTTTTACCGGGTTCGAGACCCGAACTACCTTACAAACAGTTCCAAGCTGGGTTTCACATGCGTCCAACATTCGATCAACTTACAGCTCGAGCAGTAGGATCATCTCATGCGCAGACTCGAACACCTGGTGCAGGCGTACGATGCGGGATGACGAGGCGCAGGCGTCAAGGACAGCCACCTCGTGCAGGATCTCGGGCCGCAGGTCCGCCGATCGACGGCGCTTGCGCAAAAACTTGGCTGCGAACTGTTGCCCGCTGGATCGGTGTTTGCAACGGCGAACAGCTGCGTACTTCCCCCTGCGAACGAATAATAATAATAATAATAATAATAATAATAATAAGTCGTATAGCGACCGACTACGGGCTGGCTGACCGAGGAGTCGGAATTTCAGCCCCAGTCGGGGCAAGAATCTTCTCTCCACGTCGTTCAGACTGGATCTGGGGCCCACCCAGCCTCCTATCCAATGTGTACCGGGGGTTCTTTCCCCGGGGTAAACCGGCCGGGGCGTAAAGCTGACCGTTCACCTCCAACTAGTGCCGATGTCAAGAAATCGTGGATCTATACATCCATTGCAGGATACGTCTTTATGGCGTAGTGTTTAATTAGTTAAGCACGAAGACAACCTTACCTTTATAATTATAACAATCACAACTATAACCAAGAACAAGTTGTCCTTGTGTTTAACTACGCGCCGTGCTATATTAAGACGACTGCGGGAGTGGAGGTATAGCTCCACGTATTAATTTCTGCCTTAGTTGGACGTCGGTCATCGGCTTTACGACCCGTCCGCGTCAGCCCCGGGGAAAGCTGCTATAGACATCCAATGGAAAAGAGGCTGGGGAAGCCAGAATCTTTGCCTGCAAGCTTACGGTTAACAAACTGCTGCCATATTTGAAAGCAATGAACATTTTTGGTATTGATTAAGGTAATATAGTTTGATAGGCCGTGCCATAGCTCAGGCTGTTAGTCTCCGGCTTCCCACCGCGGCGGCTTGGGTTCCAGCCCACGTCTAGTCACGTGGAATTTGTGATGGACTATGTGGCGTTGTGGCAGGTGTTTTCAGAGTACTTCGGTTTCCCCTGCCAATTCTCATTCCAACTGCTTCATATTCAACAGCATCTATCATCTGGGGCTGCTACAAAAGCCCAGTAGTGGCCGACGTACCAAGTGGACTCAAATCTCACCCCACCTCACCTCAAGAAAGTAAAACAAACTATAAATAAACATACTCTGAGAAATCAATGGAAACGCTCATTATATATGAGTATTACAGAAGCTTTTGTATAATTAACTTCCCCTGCTTTCTCCTGTATTCTTTTCCAGTGCTACTCGTTATAGAACGATACATCGGGGCCCACTTCCAACACCACCTCCCACGAATAACACGCACAGTCAATCGTAAACCGTCTATGTAGTATAATACTACACTTCACAAATTCACATCAAAATATATTATTCACAGAAGAGACATACATTAAAAAAGACAGTACATGGTCGTACATGTTTACCAAACTATTCGACGTCACATCCCAAAGGGCCGCCATCTTAATATTCGCCGCGAGAAACCCAGAATCTGACGCAGCTGCAAAGTGTGAAGATGGATGCAAGTAAACATTACTATGGCATACTTCATACACACCCTCGTAAAAAGTCAACGGGAGAAACCAATATGGTGGCCATGTTTGCTATTCTCACTGGCGGCAGCGCTAATAACGAAATGCATGAGAATATCTGAGCAAACTGACACAGCGGGTGGGAGGCCGAGGTATGAGACACGTGAAGGAACAACTCGCTCCAGGCTTGGCGTTGTGACTACCTCCCATGGCGAACACGCCACAAAACAATGGAACGATACGAAACAGTGACCTGTTTAATGCTAAGTGCATTAACTCGCTGTGACATATCCATACTTGGTTACGAGACATTCCTCAGAGTAAGCGACATTAAATGAGAATTTGAGCTTATCACGGCGCTAACTATGACGAGTTTTATCTTCTGGGACATGACGCCGTGTACCCTGATAGGAAGTGTACGGAAGTTTTGCAACAACCTTCTTCCTTCATCTTCAAGGCGAAATATGAAGGAAACAGATTCCTCCGAAACGCTGGTTGACGCCGTGTAGTCTCGAAGGAATGTATCCGAACCGTTTCGAAGAAACCTTGTGTGTGCCGCACAGTTCTTGAAGATCTGCAAACCACAGGCTCCGACTGCAAAGGTGAAGCAACCAGACAGTACCCCACCCAGGGGCGGTAACAGGGTTTCCGATAAAATCTCCCCCGATCCAATTTCATTCGTGCATGCAACGTTTCTTATTGGCGTTTGCAAGGCCACCAAATTGGCCGAACTTCGGATTATTTGAGTGTTACACACTAGCGCAGGCTACAGGCGTAATGAACAACTACTTAGTGCCCGGGGCACTAAACGGTTACTGTGTACGTATCTAGATGCCGTTGTCATTGTTCAGTTAGTTGTCTTTTCATCGGATAAAACAAGTTCTGGCTTTCTCTTCTTTTTTGTCCTTTCTTGCAACAACAAATCTAATAATGGACTGTTACGAATACCTACAGCTTGTGGATAACCTTCGGTTTTTTAACGTAACCTGATCTATCTTAGCAAGACTGCGCATGTGCAGACAAGGTTGACGACGGTTCATGTTGTAACATCACTTCCTATTGTTTCTCTGGTTCATTTCACAACACTTAACGATATGGAACGACGAGTTGTAAACGATGTGAAAGGTTCCGGTCACGGCCATGCACTATTCCAGCATTTGCCAGGGGGAACTAAGAAAACTGTTATAATAAATTGATCAGGGTTGAGCATCAAACCTGGGGCTTCTGGAATACGCAAAGGTCTCTACGGAATAAAGTTTCCAGATATGAGATACGGATCAGTCACACAAGAGACGCAGGAGTAGGACGTCTGACGGGTAAGAGTGCTTGAGCGTTCAGCACATCAAACACCGAAACATTTTCCTAACATCCATCTCTCATAAGTTCTACCAAGTGGCTGCTCAGCTGAGGGAGGAAAGGAATAAGGGGAAGTGTGGTTAGAGGAACCCTCGGAGGCGACCGTGTGTTGCTTTCCATGTATCCCGGCAGACAGATACCAACATTTCACAAGAAAAGTTTCCACCCTTTTTTAAAAGTAAGTAAAAAGGGGGTGGAAATGTGAAGATTGGGGAGCAGAATGTCCCTCTGAAACTTTATCAAACTCCTACCAGACTACACAGCGTCATATTCCGTACGATATTTTCGCATCAAAATTCTGCATGCCTATCTTGTGTCCATTATACGCGACTTACATTTCCCGCTCGTCCATTCACAGTGGGGTACTACGTCTACATCTTCTGAGATGTTACACCCTGTAGTGTGATATACGTAAATCTACGGAAGTTTCGGAGTAACGTAATCCCTCCATCTTCATACTTACACCAACTTCTCTTACCTACCCTGAAAACAGTGGCAGCAAATTCCTTCGAATCATCGACATACGTCTACCAGACTATATGGTGGAGACGCTGTGTTCTCTTTAAAGTGGGACCTGAGTTTCGAAATATTATTTTGATTAATTCAAATATTGATTCAAAATGTTAACTCATGAAGTAGCATCGCCAGTGTGGGCTGGAGAAAGTTTCAAGATTCCTTGACCTACCAAATTTCGTAACATAAGCTACCCTCTCTTGCGCCTACATCCATCCTGTTGTATTTATTACACACGGAAATACTTATGATGCCGTGAACACGCGAAATACGCCGTTACACGTGGATGCATTCCTCGAGACATCGCATAATTCCAGGCAAGTTTTGAAACGCAATTCTTGCCGAATTTTTTGGGATTCGCATCACTTCAAACTTTGCCCATAACGAGAGACTTTAATAATATTTTTATTTTATCGCACTATTTCAAATTCGCATAAAATGCGCCCGTATATGCATCCCCGTCCAAGGAGTCTGTCTAAGATTAAGAAACCGAAGTGAAACGAAGCGTTTCAGGGTTGCGCAACAGGAATAAAGATAGATATTATATTTTACTAATTAACAGATAACTAGCCGAAATTACAACACATCCTAATGTGAATATACGAACAAGGGTCCAAATTCAACATAAAGAAACATGTCAATTCAATAAACTGATGTTTTTAAGTATTGTACCACCTGAAAATGACCTAGTCATCAGGGTCGAAACATGCAGTGGAAAATAAAACATACAGAATGTTGTAGTTCAGATTCTCACAGCGGTAGTTATGAAAACTGCCATCTTCTGGGATACAGCGCAGGTGATCCGTATATGAGCCGACGTTTCGGAGGCACTTATACGGACCACAAGGCGCTATATCCCAGAAGATGGCAATTTTCATACCATATTCCGTAAATCTTGCTTTGTAGCACGACGCACTAAATTCATCACGAAGGGAGGTGTGTTTTCTGCAGTGACTTTTATGGCTTCATTATGACGCTGCATACGAAGAACTGTTAAAACCAAATTGGACAGGTTTACACTTAAGGGCGTTATTCGTGTTGCTGGTTTCTTGTTCCGATATTCAAGTATTATTTACGTTTCTTTTATTGTAGTTATTTCTAAAGGGCAGAATAAGTTTTCAAGTTTGTCATCATTGAAACATCAACAGAATATAAATTACATTCCGTCTGCATAACTCGGGCTTCAGCCGTGTATCGGACGACGTAAGACCACGTGACCGAGTGCCCACTGAAGGTGAGCGGGTCTTACGGCACGGTGACTAAAGCATTTCTCTCAACACTGCAGCTTCGCTTGCGCCGAACAATTCCTTAGTCACAACACACTCGACAAAATAAACAAATATTCACAAGAAAAGGAAATAACTCTCGGTACAACGGCAATATGGCGCCAATTCAAGGACCCCCTTACATCTTGTTAAGGCAATAATGGGCACGTGAGTTGTATCGATGTTATGTCGCTTGCACAATACACAAAAAGGAATGCTAACTTTGCAATGCCAACTGGTACAGATGGGCGCTTGCTTTTATGCGTTATTTTAGGGCGCTTCCATTACAAACCGTCGGGCAGATGATGAGCAGGGCCCGGATTTTGATGACCTGAAAATATTTAAAAAATTACCGAAAAAATCCAGAGAAATGACCTAAAGGAGAAAAGAAAGAACACTTCGCTTCCATGTTATTCACATTTCAGAAAACATATGAAGAAAAATTTCCTAAAATGGCTAAAAATGACAAGAAATACCCTTAAAAGTCCAAAAATTTACCAAAAAATTACCCCAAAAATGAAAAAATGACCTTAAACCTAAAAATGTCAA